TTTCTTAGATCTTCCACAAAATTCCGACTCATCGTCTTGTTGTTTTGTTAGGTTGTCAGCATTTTTTGATTCTTTTTATGGCGAATCCGTATGGTACATTGGATGACCATCATACCAGGAAAACGACCTTCGACCTGTCTTTTAAACGGACTCTTCGAAAGCGAAATCATCAGCTAACTGCAGTGTGATGATCTATTTCTCCTAGCAGGTTACAAACTGTTCACCCATAGTAATTTACCAAAATAAAACATAGAAATAAAATACGAGGCAAATAAAACTGCAGTGGATGTTGTAAGTTTTGGTACGTAACAAGAATTCGATAGTATGAAAATTTGCAGGGTTTTAGAACGACCATCAAGCAATATCGCCGAACCTGGCCATTTCCAGTATTACATTCTCGCTTCCATGGGAGCAGTCTGGCTCATCGTTTTTATAGCAACATGTTTTGGCGTTCGTTGGCTCGGAAAGGTTATAATTGATCAGCATATGAAATTTGGTTTTAAATTTCACCCAAATTGCTTGAAAAAATTTCCCATTTGTCCAACCATTCTTTCTTGATTGGTTGCAGTACTAAGCTAAAATCATTTTAACAGAACCTTTAGCCGTGTTTTCTTTCACTGAAGTAAAATTTTGCAGTCGGAGTCAAATACCAGTTTTTGATACTCGTGATTTAACAGCATTGAGCATTCCCCAGAGTGTATTTTTTTAGGTCATACACTTCACGTTCATCATGCCAGTGGTACTGCTTTCGCTGCTTCTTGTGCGCGCACTCACACTTCAAGGTCTCACCGAAATATTGGTGAAATTTTATCAAACAACCAATTGGCAGCGGATGGCTGATTACTTGGTAACTTCTGTCTATAATTCCTACTTTTTACTGGTAAAATAACTCCATCATGGTCCAGTACCGGCTGCATTTGGAACGAGTTTTTATAGCTCACATAATGAATATCTTGAATTGGTTGAAACCTTGCCAAGTGCTTCAGTCGGGGGAATTATCTAACTGGTAATCTGTTGTTTAAAAGAAACAAATGTCAGGATCACTAGCAGGCTGAATAACAAATGATGCAGTGTTGGTTTAAGCAACTGAAAAAGTTGCTAACTGCACACCCGGAAGAGTGGCTGATCTATGTGCTTCAAATATTTGGCTATTCGCGTTTTCTGCATCTATGCAATGCAGAGAACGCATATGGGCGAGAGGTTGTCTGTGTGTGTGTGTTTATTTGTGTACCTGTGTGTTTGCTGCGCGCTTGTACCGATTTTCGTCTCGAGACCTACAAAAGCTACGGGAATGAAAGTTAGAAAATTTAATCTACATGCACGTACGGGCCCCAGCCCCCAAAATGGGGGGTCTCACCCGCGTGGTACTCACGTATGAGCCCGCCGAAGTTTTTTACGGGTAAGCTGCTAACTCGGAGACCAGAAATGCTGGGAGGCTGAAATTTTAAGAGGACGTTCTTCGTCCAAGTAGGTGTTAATGAACTCAAAACCAGCCTCCGGCAAGCGTGGTACCCACGTACGGGCCTGTGAAATTTTTTTCGGGTAAATTGATAACTCGGGGATCTGAGGAGCTGGAAAGCTGAAATCTTAAGGAGATGTTTCCCGTCCAAATATTAATGAGCTCAAACTCGGCTCCCGGGTGGACGTGGTACTCACGTACGGTTCCGTGAAAGTTTTCTCCCACTAAATTGCTAACTCAGGAGTCGGAAAATCTAGAAAGATGAAATCTTAAGGGTGTTTCCTGACAGTTTTGGCGGCCTGTCTTAATTTGTTTAGCTAAAAGCATTTGCCGGAAAAACCGGTGCCAGTATCGACAAAAACTGCGTGGCACTATGCAAAAAACGCATCTTCGCACGGACAGCCCATGTGTTGACCAATTTTTTTCTTCACTAAATATTATGTAGATGCAGCACTCCTCAACAACTTTCCAAACTCAATGCCCTGTTAGCAGTACCTGTAGCACTCGTTTAGCCGTATATCTGGCTAATTTCTTCCAAAATTGTTTATAAAATGACCGTGATCAAATTTTTTCCATGTTCACTTTCGTGAGATACCAGTGCATTCAGAAA